CGGAGAATTGCCATCGTTGAGTGGGGGTAGAAAAGTAGAATTGGCAGGATATTCTCTCAGGTGGATCAATTTTAGGAAAGAAAGCATATGGACCCTGACGATTTTGAAATGCATTTCCTTAAAACCATCTGTGCCCACGTACCCTCCAGAAAGTCTGCGTTTTCCCACAGAGGCATTGGTACACCGGTTGGATCTAACTTTCTCCAGCTCTCTGAGTAACTTAGCAACTCTTTTCATTGAATGATTCAGACTGTTTTCGCACACAGCTAACGCATGTTAAAGAGAGCTAAGCCAGTGTCTATTATGAATACTTTATCAGTCAAGCAAGTAGAATTTCTCACAGGGGGCATAATTAGAGTGGAGGCAGTATATAGTGCTGGAGTTGGGAGGGCTAGTGCTGGAGGCAGACAATATTTTTGTTCCTATACTCATCATCACCAGCTGTGCGACCTTGTGCAAATTAGGACCAGCTCTGCTTCACGGCTTTCTCACGTGTAAAGTGGGACTAAAAATAGATTTCTCGTTGGGTTCTTTGGAAATTTAAGTGAGGTCATACATACAGTGCTTTGTGCATTGACCAATATGCAGTAAGCACTCGGTAAATACTAGCTGCTGTTATCTTTGGGTATTATAGTGTTGGCCCCAAGGAATGAGCGCTTCAAAGGCGGTGGGATCACTATTTCAGTCTTCTTTCTCAGATCATGGGTCTTTCGTGCACCAGTTAGTGTACCCGACCACCCTGATTTTATGGACAGCATTAGCTCTTTGAGGTTTCGCTTGACCATGCGTCCTGGAAGCCCAAGGTTCTGGAGCTGGTGCAAGGTGTCCGCCCTCACCAGCAGCCTGCTCTCATCTCCCGCTCGGCCTCACAAGGACAAACACAGACTCTCTAAGAACATCTGCTGGAAGGGTGGACCTCCGAGGCCCTGAAGTTATTTTTAATATCCTCGGAACACTGTCCAGGAGCTGCATGATGTGGATGGACGACACTCCAAGTCTCCTCTGGGGTCACTTACACGAAATGTACGTAAAGGCAGGGCTCCTAGTAACAATACCAAACACCTTAATCCTCGTATCGACAACTGTTCTATTGGGTTACACAGTTTTAATCCCAGAGGAGTTGTCTCTTGACATTAAACTGTCCGAACAATATTTATATCTGCGGCTGCCCTGCGAGATCACTTAACCCCGCACGGCCGTTTAAAAGTAGTTAATGACAGAGCCGGCGTGACTCGACCTCTGAGTGATCACAGAATTTCGACCCGTGCTGTCAGGGTTTATGGAGAAAGTCAGTTCGTCCACAGCCTGCTTCACCCACAGCAGGTAATTTGAAATGAAATGAGACAGTTTCTACAAGCAGATTGATTTGGGAATCTTGCCTGTTCTTCCCTTTGACCCTTGACAAGTTGACACTACAGAGATTGTGACTTTAAAAAATGATTGGGTGCAAATGCATTTAGGAAGATGATTTACTGTGTGCTGAGGCAAGGACAGCGCATCCAGAGAGATGCCGTGAGGGCAGGTCATTGTAAACGCGAACAGAGCGTGTTTGATGTTTCTGTATGTTCTTAATTATCCCACCAGCTGAAGCTACTAATAACCGTTGATCAAGTAGTTCATATTCCTGGGAAGAGACTAGGTATCCAGTCTCAAGATTAAGAGATACAGTTTATCATAAACTTATTAAAAGTTACTGATTCCATTTGTTATTTTGGTCGAAAACCACAGCTTGTGTATGAGGATAAGAAACGGAGTTCTCTTTCATGGAGTCCACTTTTTTCTCGTTTGTAAATACAGTTAGTCATATACAGGAGGAAACACTTTGATTAAAAGGGTGATAGTCTGATTTTTGATGATCAGAGTTACCAGCCATACTAGAAAAAACATCACAATTATGCATTATCAAGTGCTCTTTTTCCAATCCTTTGTAACCACATTTAGATTTTCACACCAAATATTGTGCAATATTCAAATAAGTATTTTCCCTATTATTTTGACTTCTTCTGATGCAGTTTTTCTCTTAGAAGCGAAGTGTTGTCATGAATAAATATCATACATCAAATTTAAAAATCCAGTGTTTTCCAAAACCACAATAAAAACAAAACATTAAAATGACGGTCAGGAAGATTATTTTTTAAAAGTGGTTATCTCTGTTCGCAATGACACAATATTTGTGCCTAGATTATTTTAAATGAACTTTGCAGTGGAATTGATTTATTGATATTCGGATTTGCCCTGAAGTCCCCGTGCTCCTTCACATTAGCCACAGGACTTGGGCCATCCCTGCAGCTTTTGTGTTTCTCTATTCTAACCACTTTGTTTGAAATATAATTTTGAAGATGCTAGTAAAAAATAGAACAAATTCTCTATTGGTCTCCGTTTAAATTATTTACTACCCTTTGGAGCCATATCTTCATTGAACTATGTTAAAAGTATTTTGCTGGAATGTTTCTTTATGTTGTCCATCGGGTTTAATAGACGCGCCATTTAATAAGCTCTCTACCTGTGAGGATGGACTATTTGACCTCTGTGCCCTGCCACTGGTAGACATAGTATAAGATTGCTTTGTGAAATAAAGCTGTCGGTAACATCAACAAAATAAAAAATGATCGTATTCCAGTACTCTCTGCTGAGTACCATGACAGCGCTGAAATATGGAATAAAATTGAAAGTAGATTAGTTTTGGGTCTTAAGTCATGTTTTGACAAGAAATAAGAGAGGCGAACATATCTTTGAACTTTTAGTTTTAAAGTTTTTTAATGAAAATATTTATCATTTTGTAAGGTTCCTTCTTTCTCTATCACATTGAGGCTGTATAACCTTAAAACAATCTCTCTCTTATTGGGAGGGATATAAATACTGTTCTATCTTTATATTAAACACCATAAAGGAGACTCGCACGGGCAAGATGGTTTGACACTTGGAAGTTAAGGAGGGTCATGCTAATAAAAAAGCTTATTGAAGAGGACGGAAAATCAGTCGTTAATAAGCTACATATTTTTAGGGTACGTAATGCATGTAAATACTGTCGACAAGCAGGCTGCTTTTGCTGTATTTTCTGTTAACCTTTTGGAATGGTTTGAATCTGAAGGGGAAGAATAAATATGTCAGAGTGGAGAGAGCCTTGCTGGGGATTGCTTTCGACATAAAGGAATTTGAAAACTGAGGAGACATGCAGATTGTGAAGTTTTCTCTCTCGTCTCCGCGGTTATATATTAATCAGAAGAAATCGCGACTAATAAATGGCGTTGATGGGCAGCAGAGGGTGCGGGCTGAGGACAGTCAGCCTCCCTTCCAGGAACGTGCAAACCTCCTGTTTCACCAAATGGGAGATTGTGGCGCTCTTAAAAATGCTGCTACCCTTTCATTCCCTTTACAGAATGATTGCAAAGTGGGCAGGTCCCCGTGCATCTCACAATGAACTCTTCTCACATTCTTTCCTTTTAAAACACATGATGCGCTAACTCTACGTGGCTCGTGCCTCGGGATTGCCCTTGCCTTCTCCAGCCTGTGCAGCCGAGCTCTGCACAAAACCCGGGCAGGGCTCCAAGGCGGCCGGGGTGGGGCTTCCAACTGCCACTTCTTTTTTAAAAAAACTAAATTGACTTTTTTCCCCCCTAGTAAATGTGAGTTACATGGTAACACAGGGATAAAACTGTGGTCAGACTCTTAGGGGATTTTGTTTTTAGTCATGAAAAAGGCAAACCTGTTACCCTCACCTTAAAATTTCCATAGTTGGAAATTTTAAAAATAAATTGAAAAATATTGGCTAAAAGTTCTGAAAAAGGTTTTTTACGAGGGTTCAAACAATCTCTCCTAAGATATGTTAAATATCATTACAAAGAAAAAATTTTTAAAAATTTAGATGAGTATGAAATACAGCCATGTTTCTTAGTCTCAGTTGAGGTGTATGCCAAGTCCTATGGAGGTCTCATGATAGCCCCGCTTACTTTGTTCCATTACATGCCTTTAACCTTGACTTTGCCAAATAATATCTTTAAACAGGACAGTGAATTACCGTGGTCATTCTGTTGGTGTGAGTTGTCATCGTTGGTCTAAGCTCGACTCCTGAGTGTGGAAGTTTGTTAAAGAATAACTATACAGTTATCAACCATCCAGACCAGGTTTACATGTGTTTTATTCATGGTTTTTCTGTCAAATGTCAAGATCCAGGAGGAGTCCTGAGCATCCTGGGAAGGGTCAGAGAGCGTGTGCTGAATCCCAGAGGGTTGGGGACAGTCACACCCTGGGAAACGTCCTTGGCTGGTGGAGGTCCCGAAAACAGAACAAGGCTAGGAGAGAAGGTGACTGTGTGTAAGGTCACCAACATTAGAGGAGAGGAGAATTTTAGCATCCTAGAAGGGAAGAATCAATAGAAAATTAACAATAACTTATGGTAGGACAGGGATCTGAAAGTCATTCCATCGTGAAGAGCCATCCATTGAAATAGACGAGGGGACAGAGCTGTCACAGGGCGTTCTGAGTTATTAAAAAGCATGCACTTGAATGTCAGCCTGGGGTTCAGGTATTAGTTCTGCCCACTAATAGCTGTGGTACCTTTAGCAAAAGATATGAACCTTCTTAGTGTCAAGTTTTTAATCTGTCAAATGAAGATAAGACCAAGGTGGCTGTGCTGGTGTGTGAATTAAATGAAATGACCCACCTGAAGGTGCCTAGCATGATGGCCCACCCGCGGCAGCTGCCCCCCCGAATACTGGGGGCCTCCTCTCTTCTCTCCTCCATTCTGAAATAAGGATGCCAATCTCTTCTTCTCTTCAGATTTCATGAATCTGATGAGGTCCATTCCAGTCTTGTGAATGGAAATGTTCTAAAGGTTTTTTCACTTTCAGTAAACCAAAAATTCTTATTCTGCTTTCAGTTACTCTGGTTACTTGGTTTAAGAAATCTGGACCAGAGCCTTAATGTCATGGAATTTTTGAGATGATCTGTACTGTGGTTTTGTAATTGAGTGGGAATTAACTTTGTTTTAAAAATCATGAGCTGGATGACTAAGGAGGCTGAGTCTGACACAGCAAGACTCTGCTGACTACAATTGTCCTAGAAAAAGGGTTGGAGAAAGTGGGAGATCTGTGAAGGATCTTCTGACTACAGTGGGAGTACCTGTCCTGAGAGGTCCCCTCCAGGACGAGAGTGCCAGGTGCGTCACACCGCCCACAGATGGGATGAGTGACTTTGTGGGGCCATGTTAATGTCTGCTGTAGCCTCCGCGGTATTTGCTGTGCTCAGACTGACTTTTGAGGTGTCATCCAGCCATTATTAACCTCATCATGATCTACAAGTGCAGAAACAGCAAGAGAGTTTAAAGTTCTAGTAAGGAAAGGCGGGTGATTCCGATGAAAATAAAAGTAGAAGTAATTTTCTAAATGGTGGCCAAGGACATACGCTGCCCGTGGTTAAGGGACGAGTTCTCAGTTGGACCATACATTCAGTATGCCACAGCTTCAGGATAAGAACTCAAGAGGTTTAACATCGTAACGGTTTTAAAGGTCTTTCGTTTCTTTGAGGATCTTCTTTATCATCATTAAAGTCTGAGGATAATAATAATTGTCACGATACGTGTATGTGCTCCCTATGTGCCAGGCACAGTTCTCTGTGATTTGTACAGATGTGCCTTGACTTACGCTGAGGTTATGTCCCGATAAAGCCATTGTTAAGTTGCAAGTATCGTAAGTCGAAAATGTAGTTAATACACCCAACCTACCGAACATCGTAACTTCAGCCTCACCTACCTTCACTGTGCTCAGAACACTTACGTGAGCCTACAGTTGGGCAAAATCACCTCCCACAAAACCTATTTTAGAATGAAGGGTTGGATAGCCAAGTAATTGATTGAACAAGGTAGTGAAAGTGAAAAACAGAACGGTTGGATGGATACAGAAGGTCTGTGAGTGTATCGGTCGTTCATCCTGGTGATCTCGGGGCTGACAGGAGCTGCCACTGCCCAGCATCATGAGAGACGGTCCTACCGCATATCGCTAGCCTGGGAAAAGATCAAAATGCAAAATCTGGAGTACGGTTTCTACTGAAGGTGTATCACTTTCACACCATCATAAAGTCGAAGAATCGTAAGTCTGGGATTGTCTGTATCTATTAAGTTATTTAAACTTCATAACAACCCGGTAAGGTGGGTATTATTATTACTTCTATTTTACAGATATAAAGAAACTGAGGCACAGAGAAGTTATGTCACCTGCCTTTGGTCACGCAGTAAGGGGCAGAACTGGAATTCAAAACTGGGAAGTCTGGCCTGTGAGTCCACGACTGATGTAAAGCCTGGCGTGAAGCATTGCTTGTGGTTCGTTCATTCATTCGATCAATAACCAATTCACTTATTATCTACTACCTGCTGTTTCCTATGCAAGACTTTGGAGCTAGAGTGGGGACCAAAAGCAGACATTGCCTTCATGAAACTTATAGATGGGAGAGATAGATATTAACTGAAAAAACCCAAATAATCATAAAATTGCAATATAAGGAGGAAGTACAAGATACCACGAAAGCTCACAGAAGGAGAATCTGACCTAGATGGGAAAGCTTCCTTGAGGAGAGGTAGCTTGAGCTGGGAGCTGAAAGATGAGCAAAGCTTAGCCAGGTAAATAGCAGCAGAACATGAGCCTCAAAGGCCCTTTGATGGGCAGGAGAGTTCAGACTGAGGAATTCCAGCAGGGTCAGTGTGACAAGCCAGGAAGAGCCTGGTGCCGGATGAGATCAAACCATGCAAGAAGACTTTGTGGACTATGGAAAGGAGTTTCTTGTTGATCTCAAGACCAATAAGAAGGTATTGAAGCATTTTCAATGGGGGGAGGGAGGCATGACTTGAGTTTCACATAATCCTCTTGCTGCAATATGGAAAAATGGGTTTGAGATGGACCTGAGGTGGATGTGGGGAGGTTAGGGGTATGGGACCACTGCAAGGCCCCAGGTAGGATATGATGGAGCTCAAAGCAGAGTGTGACAGAGGGTGTGGGGAGACGTGGACAGGTTCAAGAGATACTCAGGAGGAGAACCAAGGAAGCTTGGTGATAGATTGGATCGAGGGAGGTGGGGATGACCCCTGGGTGTGGGTTTCTGGGGCTGGATGATGGTGGTGCCATCCCCTGTGACAGGACACTGGAAGAAGAGCATGGTTGTTTCCTTCTGGACAAGTTGAGTTTGGAGTCCTTGTTATCAACATTTTTAGTGATGCAAAGAAGAAAGTCAAAATGTAAATATCTTTGGATGAAATTTTACTAAGAACTGATGCCATGTTCAACATCTACTGTTCTCTTATAAAACTGGAGTTTTATGTGAATATGCTTATTTTATTCCTTGTATAATACCACTTTATGTTTATGAACAAATTTAAAATCACTTTTTGGAACAAACCTCTTACTAAAGAGAGGTGTACTCCACGATGAATATAATTGCTTCTAAAGTGTCCACTTGTAGACAGACTTGTATAAGCCATCATTAATTGTTTACATAATTAATATATAAAATGCAGAGTTTCTACTAATGGAAAAAGAAACTCGAGCATCACACTGATAATATCAATGACATGCATTTGTATTTTCAGACCCTAGATAACTGTAAAAGCTACATTTTATTACGTTAATAAAACGTAAAAACTCCTGAAGCGACCCAGAAGCGTGTAGCAGCACCAGTGTTAGGACTCGCTGCTCCATCAGTTAGGGGCCTGTCAGCTTGCTGTCTGCTGCTGGTAACACTCGCAGGGCACCGGGGAAAGCTTTTCCCCCAGTAAAACAATGATTTATTTTTCAAGATAAAATACTGCATGTTGATGACATAACACGCTCTATGAGAGTTATGAGAGTAGCAAAGCAAAGGAAAAAATCCAACTCAATGAGAAGAAAAAGCAGAATGCGAAAAATCGTTCCTCTGGGTGGACTGAGTGATCAGGTTGTCACTATAGATGTAAAAAGTAGCTCAGTCCCTAAGAATACGGGAGACCCAAGGGGGAACTCATGAAGAGACGCTAATTCCACGGCGGGAGAGCGTACAGGGTTCCAGCGCTCCTGGGTTAATACCCTGGTCACACTGACAGATGGAAGGACCAGTCGTCCCTTTGGCCATCCTGATGACTGGACCAATCGATACCTCTTTAGGGGTCTGCCAATCACTCCATTAGGGAGGAAGACTGGCCGGATTAGTTCGAGCAGCTTCTCAGATGCTCTGAGGACGCGGCCAGGCCCTCTTCTCTAAATAGGAAAAGGGAAGCATGGCTTCATGTGGAGGAGGGATGGGGAGGCCTCTGGATCTGGTGAGCACTGAGGTATGTTCGAAACAACTTAGAAAGGCAGCTGACAACTCTGCAACCCGTGTTGCAAAAGTATTCATAGAAACCCAGAGGAGATTCCTATAAACTAAACAAACAAACAGACCACGTGCCCCAGACCGTGCCATCTGATCCCAAACTCAGCTGTGGGAGGACTTAAGATGTCAACCTCGGAGGCGTCAAAAGCATAATGTTTCTGTTGGAAACCCCACCCAGAATTCCCAGAGGGCCTTTCCCATTGACTCACTTGGAAATGAAATCCAAACATTCTTGGCTGCCAGGAAAAGTGTATGGAGTTTTTTATTTTTCCTTTCGACACACTACTAATTTTGAATTAAAAATCATTTGATGTCAAAATTTTTCTTCCAGATCTCACACTCTAATCATCTTCCCAGAATGCCTGCTTTCTTTCACATACAGAATTTTTGTCATAGTGCAAAAAACGAGGCTGCTCTGATGGATGTGTGGTCTAGATGGGGTACCCGGATGAGGGTCAGGTTGTCCTGATTTGTCTATAAAATTTTTTGGAGAGGGTCCAGGGCTTTCATAATAGTCTCCAAAGGGTCTGTGAGCTCCCCTCCCCACACTTAACGAGCACTTACAGACCCTAAAATAAATACAACGTGAGGACAGCACGCAACAGCCTGCCTTCTTCTCCCACTGATGTCTTTCCTTGTAAGACCAAGAGGTGGCAGCATAGACACCAGCATGCAGCTGCCCCATTTTCCCAACCAGAGGACTTCCAAAGGCAAAATGTAGTAGTATGAGGGCCCATCAGTCACCTTGCTTTGGCTGGAATAGATCGTGGATATGGGTCGCATCAAACCGCCCTAAAATCCTGCTGGAGGAGTAGAGCGAGATGGAATGAGCAGTCCTGGACTTTCAGGTCACAAAAATGGAAGGAGCACATTTGGTCTGCGGCTGTTGGCAAGCTGGGCACGCCAGGAAAGCCCAGAGCTTGCTCATTGGTCGAATCCGAGAGGCACTTCCATGCTATAAAGTCGAATGTGATTTCCCAAGCTGTGATAAGGACTTTATTTTACTGTACAGTATTATTGTTTAAATACTCTACAAACTGCCTTAAGAAATTACTTACTCTGAACAGAAAAACACTTTATTTTCTTTGAACCAACAACCGAAAGACCTTTCTGTTCTTCCACTCCCTGGGGGATTGAAAATACCCAGAAAAAGGGGAAGTTGTTTTGCACGTGCAGATTCAGAGGATTTTTATTTTGCTAATTAAGTATCACTTTCATTTTCTGTGAAAGTATGAGAAGCAGAGACCTTTGCTACAAATACTTAACCAGACGTGCACTGGATAATTTTTTTCTACTTTAAACATATCTAGCCGATTCAAATATATGCATTTTAAGTAGGAGATTCTAGGTCTCAATATGGCTGATTACAATGAAATCGCTGAGGACGGACCTGTTTGTTTAATGGTATACGTTGTGTGATAATAGTAATTCTTAGTGATGAAATTAAGCCTCTGGTGATATCTTAACCAAGTCAAGCATCAGACCTTAAAAAGCCATCATCTGGTGGGCTGAGATGAAATATATTTTGTCTATCATTTCTGTTCCTTTGAAAAGTTTCCATAAAATTCATAATTACTAGGTAACCGAGAACAAATATACACAGTTTTGGGCTATCTGTGTGGGAGAAGATGACAGAAGGGGCTTGGAGGCATTTGACAAGTATCAACAGACACGATGCAAATTTTGTGGGTGGAATAGAATTAGAGAAATATTAGCCAGCCTGTTTTGGTTCGTTTTTCACAGTCCACTTTAAACTGCCAGCTTCCCTTGAAACAGAAAGTAACCGGCTGGGGTGCAGCAGGAGCAAAATGTTTGCGTGTAAGCTCAGCTTTTCTCAGATGATAAGCAACTTTGGGAGGGCCATTAGTTGATCCATTAATTAATCCATTGATTAGAATTTATGGAGCATCTCTTTTGTGCCTAGCCCTCTGCTAAGCGTTGTGAGGATTATGAGACAAATGATTGCATAATTTCTTAGTTATATTCCTATTACCTTCTGTGCCTTGGTGTGTGTGTGTGTGTGTGTGTGTGAAATTGGGAGCCGTGGAGGGTAGCGGCGTCTAAGGGCAATTTTTTAAGTGTTTTAATGTAAATGCTTCTCTTTCTGAAGTCTGTCTGATTGAGAAGGTAAATGCAACTCCATTCATTCGGCTGCTCCCCACTTCCTATTAGTCCATGTGCTTGACACACCTGGAGTTCCTTCTATAAAATGTTTTCACCGAATAAAAATTGTCCAGAGGGGCCACAGTTTGAGCAATGCTTAGGCTGCAAGGGTGATGTTTGTGTGGGTTTTTTCTCTGTTGGCTCTGCCACGAGGCAAAAAAAGAGCCTGTCAGCCTTGTCAACCGTGCAGATCTTCTGGGAGCATAGAGCCTGTCGGGGTGCATGGCTATTTCGGGGGGCAGAGGTGGGGCTCACGCAATAGAACAGGCTTGGACTGGGCAGCCCTTCCTCCTGAGCATTAAATTCACTTCCAAGAACACTGCAGGAGACTATTGTTAAATACTCCGGGCGTGTGGGGGGCTGATGGAGAGGCTGACTCAACAGAAAGGGAGTCTACCACACTTTGGGCTATGCTTCCCGTGGGAGAAAAGGGATGTTTCTGGAATGGTCTTATTCTGTGTAGTTTCAGGGTTCTGACACAGTGTCTAGTCACCTAGTTATTTAAAGCATTTTTTTAACAGTGCATTTATGAAATGCACCAATAGCAATTAGGGTCGGCTTCCTCTTCATTCTCTAAAATAAATTCTTCTGTTGCGTCTTGACTTATCTCAGCTGTATTTGACCTCTGATATCCCATATACTAGATGGTTTAAATTACTAACTCCCAAAGTGAAATCCTAGAAAGAAAAGCTCCACGAATATTAATGAGTCTTGTTTGGGAAAGAGCCTCACATGCAAGGAAGCTTGAGAAATGCTGGGCTCAGGCAAGGCCAGCAGCAGGTTTCTTGACCACAAGCCTTACCGGGATTTGTAAACCTGGGGAGGGGACGACGTGCAGGGTTTCCCAAACTTCCTTTCCAGAGAGGGTCTTGCAGGACAGGTGTTGGAAGAACCGTGCCTTGGGGAGCATGAATTTATAGACTCGTTCGTGTTTGAAAAGACTTTATCAGAGAAAAGGTGGAAAAGTTTTACTGAGGAAAAGTGGACATAGGGAAGGCAAACGACCATAAACGGGGTTATCTTGAAGCTTATTTGAAAAATGACCGAAGACTAAAAAGGCAACAGCCAGGTCTAAGGGGGTGAACGAACGTAGTCTAAGAATGCATTCTACAACAATTTTTCAACAGTGCATTTAGGATTACAAATTGGTGAAGATACAAAGGGGCATCTACAATAATAATGCACATTCTCAGGCACAATTTAAAAGAATGAGCTTATCAAGATTCATGTTCTGACATTGTTTCACTTCTAAATCAGGCTTGGTCCAGCTTGCGCGTCTTATGTGTAATTTAAGAACAGAAGCCATAACAACAATAATGCGTAGATAGGAGGAGTTTATCTTCTTGAATGAATAAATTAGGTCATCTTCAAGCAGTTTTCTTTAATAGGAATTCCTGTGAGGTACTTCCGTAGTGAGGCATGGCTCTTTAAGATCCTGTTAGCAAAGACGATGAAAAGAATGTTCCCCTCTGTCTCACACAAGAAGGGGAGTGTGCAGCCAACAGTGGGAACCTGCTGTGAGTTCCTGGGACGTGCTGGCTGCCACCATCCAGGCCAGTTGTCAGTGAGCAGCAGCCCCCTGCCGCAGAGCAAGGCTGAATGTGCCCCCTCCCCGTTCTGCAGCCTGGGCTGGGTCTGGGTGTTTGAAGCCACTTCTCACTTGCTCCTCTTCTGAGGTTCCATCTGGATAAGTCTGGGAGACTCCAGCAGGCCTCTGATTTAGGGCTTATTAATAGGCTTCCATAATAAGATCATTGATAAAAAACAAAAAAGCATAAACCCCAAGGATGTCTCAAATGTAAGGATTCTCACTGATGAGCGTAAAGAAAACTGAGCTTCTAATTTTGACTCTCCACAGGCGATGGGCGTCTGGTCCTAAAATCTTCAATCTGCCTGGCACAGAAGGCTGGACTCGGGCGCCGGGAACGACCTTGGAGACGCGCCCCAAATATCCTTCTCAACAAGCCTGGGTCTGAAACAAGGTGTGTGTGTGTGTTGGGGGGCGTTTGTTGTTGATCGGCGTCTATGGCACCAAAGGAATGAAATCCTGACTCGAACTTCCTTTGGAGAGGGGCACCCCATTCTCAGGATAGTAATTCTTTGAATGTATAAATAAAAGTCGGGCTAATACAGCAATGCCGACCAAACTGTGCGCATAGGGATTTTTGCAGTACGCATGCGGTTTTTCCAGGCCAGACAGCGGCCCATAGCACGTGCTCATTTTCGCTTTTCCTTTTGCAAGAGCTCGCCCCCCGCGGAGCCAACCCGCGCAGCCGCTGGCCGGGCACTGCGCTCCTGGCTCCCTCCTGGGGGCGCGCTCCCACGGGGTGGCCTCCCACAGGCACTGCGCTCCCAGCGCTGCTCTCAGCAGTTTGCCTGGAAGGAAGAGGCCGGCAGGAGCGCATCCTGGGCGAAGGCTCCGCATCGCGCGCTCTCAGGGGAAACAATGGGCTGGAATTGGTGAAAACAAACCCAAGATGTTAAGGAGGCGCTCAGGCACTGGGGCGCAGGGCTTCCAGAGCCTGCTCGTGAACCGCCCCCCTCCGCCCCCGCCCGCCCCGGGGAAGGGTCTTCGCTGTCTGTTTGGTATGCTTTTTTAAAATAAGGCATTGTGGTGTCATTTTGCGGATTAAATAATTCCCTGAGGAAGTGTTTGTGGGGAAAAGGGTGATCAACAGGGAGAAGGGACATCCTTTTTCTCTCATGTCAGGGTATGCTTTTTTTCTGCGTTTTGCAGACTTCCACGTATCTCAAAGAACACTGTGTATTTAAAGAGGTTGATGCACCCTGAGTGATAAGAAAAATGGCACTGGACTAGGAGAGAGAGGGGTGCCCTCTGGTAACAGCTATCACTGAGCGCTCCTGGTGTGTCAGGCACTTCTCTGTTTTCTCTAAAGCTAGTTGACTCCTCTCCACCACCTGGGAGCGGGGGTGTAATCCCTGAGTGGTAGGTCAGGAAAGGTTTCCGCCGCTTCGGCCCGGTGTTCTGCAACGTCCTACCTGTCACTGGCTCCTGGAGTAACCAAATTCAGGATAATATTTGTGAGGGAAAAGGAGTCATTGCAGGTAAAAATGGAGACGATTTCGTCGTCTTGCAGTTTATCCAGCTTTGCGGGTGCTCTTAGTTCAAGGATCACAGGCCTGCAGGTGCTGGTTGTCAAGAACCTGAGTGGGGAGCTTAGAGATTCCGGGGGTCCTGTCCCAGACTTGCCAGTTGCAAAATGTAAAGCATCGCCAGCTGGTATGGTCTCCCCTCCATCTTGCGCACAAACCGACGATGGTTTAGATGCCTTTTCCTATAGCTCTGACGGAACAATTTTAGTTTAGTGGTTCGATACCAAATTTCTACTATTCTTGTTTTGAAGGTGATCATATTTGTTTCTTTTTAAATGCCTGCAGCATTTTAAACAATTTCTGTTGGTTTCCTTTGCTGGGGAATTGGTCTCCCCACAGACCTGGGAGGTTCACTGATAACTACCTGGGGCGTCTGGGAAAGTAGGTGCTTATGGTCTGGCTTCTGTTTGGGGGAGCTCATTAGCCGATTCCCTTACACTGTCACTCACTCCGGGGAACTGGAACTTTGGAATTGCTGCTGCGTGTCACCCAGTCTTGTCCTGCTCAGGAGGTGAAGCAATCCGTGAGCGGAACACGTGGCCTTGGAGGAAATGATCCAGCTGGGTGAACAGGGCGCGTTTGTCTCACTTGGCTGGGAAGACAGCGAGTGGTGCCCAACTGAACCGGTCAGGTCTGCAGCTGAAGCTCTCTGGCTCCTGGAGGAAGAAACCAGAAATTTTTAAAAGTCCAACAGTGTGAGCTCCTGATAATGATAGTCGCATGGAATATGCTTCCTTTAATATGGCCCCGGCCATCAGTGATCATTGAGTGAATCCCGTCTTTGTTTATCTGCTCACCAGTATATGTTATAAAGGGGAACAATCAAGATTAATTTACTGAGAATTCAAGGAGTCATTTTGTGAGTCAGATGACAGTGTTTATCTCATGAAACACAGCGAAGGCGAGTCAGTTCCTAGACGCGCTGGGGAGGTTTACAACATTGACTGCGTGCCGCTTTCTTTATCTACAGCTTTGAAACGGAATATTATCGCACCTGCAATTTTCATATGCTGTGACAGGCAGAATGCCTGGGAACAAGCCCTGAGATTCCAGCTCTGGCCCCTGCCTTTAGGATCTGGAAGAGAGAGCGATTGGCCTGCGGGCCATTATCAAGCCTTCTGATGGTGCACATTAATAATAATAAGCATCTGAGATTTTTATTGGATAATTTAAAAATATATAAGTACTTGAATACTGAGCCTTTATCTTGGCTGTTTCTTGAGAACGCTTATCTCATTGTTGGTGATTCATGTTTATTATTAACTAAGTAGTAAAAAATTAAAAGCATTTTACAATAATGAATAAATTATTTCTAATGAATATATAAAAGGGGTTGATGTTTTCAACAGATGAAGAGCTATGGCTCGATGTGGTTTCCTGGGGGAAAAGTGGTCCCTGGTCACACGAAGCGAGGCCGCCCGGTTCTGTTCTATTTCTGTTGAAAGTTTCTTAGTGCCTATCAACAAAATGATCCTCTCCTTAACCCTGGTCCAGCCTCTGGTTCCATCAATCGAGCAGTTGTTGAGTGCCTTCGGAGGATAAATAAAGCCTTCGCTGGCGCCAGGAGGCATCTGTAAGACTCTTCAAGCAACTGGGACTAAAGATCCTGTTTAAAGCAGGGAAAGGGCCCGGCAGGGCCTCTGCTGTGTGATGTAGACAGGCACCCCTCTGGGCCCACAGAGCCCCCAGCCCCAGTTTCGTGGACAGACTCAGACTTTGTGCTAATGTGGCACGTGAGCCCGTCCCTCTGGACTGCCCCAGCTCCCATCAGGTTATGCACCAGGTGGCAGAGAGCTGGGCTGCATCTCCGCCCCTGCTTTCCTCCTGCCCAGCTGTACTTTGCAGCTCTCAGCACAGAGACCTTCCGGTTGATGAACTATTTCGCCACCAAGTCTCACTGTTCACGGGGAGAGCTGGGCAGGCCGTGGAGAAGGACGGGTGGGCAAGTCTGTCATCTTCCCTGGGAAACACACACACGGCTGCCATGACTGATGCAAAAGCTTGGAACGATGAAAACGCCTTTTCTAAGCAAGTTGGTGGTGTCAACCCCACGGTTGAAGTCACGTTCTTGACATTGGGTTGCGTGAATTTGTTTTAAAGTGGACATCCTGCGTGGTTTAGTGCATGTACTTTGCCGTCAGAATTAAACCCACGTTTCTTCACTGACATTCAGTCCCTTTTTACTTTGCTCTCAGCTTACCTCGCCAGCCTTTTCCTTCCCTGCTCTTTCGTCATGGGATGCACGCCTCTCTCCCACCAAAACGCACACCTGGAACCTCTCTGGACCCTGTGCTCTGTGTTCGAAGAGTGCAAAGTGTCTCTACTCCACACCCATCTGTTGAAGTCTTTTGCCTCCTAAATGACCCAGTTTGGGTACCGCTTTTGTTACAAAGCCTTCAGCCCACTGTGATTCCTTTCCTCTGAATTAGGTGGTATTTCGTTTTAATTCTTTTGGTGTGTATAGGATACTCTTAGCGTTATTTATGTTATTCAATGCCCATTGAGGACACTGATTACTTCTTATTCGTCTTTCTGTGTCCCACAGCGCCATGTTCTTTAATTAGGGGAGAGGAACAATGGGTGTCGTTTGAATGAATGAATGAATTCCTTGGATGTATTTATTTAGGAATTGAACGTGGAACAAATCTAGTTTCCTTCTCTCTTGGTAATCTTTCCAGTTCCTTTATCACGTTAAATAGTATGTTTCTAGTTCCTTCCACATTAATAATTTACATTTTTGAAAGTAGATGATATAAAAATCGTATGTTTATTAAATAAAATGAGGGGTTGAGAAGCAACATGGTATAGTGAAAAAAACTAGTATTTCTAGTTTTAAGTTGGCCATTCAGTAACTGGGTAACCATTCTCTCTCAGATTTTCTTAGCTTGAAAATGGGGGACCAGCAAAGGCTTAAAGCTGTGTCTGTCTGTGGACAAAAGACGTGCTTTTGAATTTTACTTCATGTAACCGCCTGCCCCCTCCCTCCCTCTGCTCCCGTAAGTGTGGCTGTGTGATTACGCTCTGGCCAATGGAACGTAAACAGAAATGTGTTAAAAAAGACACTCTACCCCCTTTTAGTCTGTCTTCCTTCACCCTGCTGCTTGGGACACCCTGTGACTCTTCCGCCATCTTGGAGCTTGAGGATGAAGGCCGAGCCCGTCCCAGGCGTGCAGAGTGGGGAGTTCGAGGGAGCCTGAGTCCTGAGGACTTTGTGGAGTGGAGTGGCTGCACCAGCCTTGGGACTGCCCACCTCTGGGCTTTTCCATGGAAAAGAATTCAACTTTTCTTAAGTCACTATTCTTTTGTGCCTCTGTTATTCACCACCGAACCAAAACCTCCTTCCTGCATCATCACTGTCAATTGATTTGCCTTTTACTCCTGCTAGACTCTGAGCTCCTTCATGAGAGGTGCTGTATCCCACCCAAGTCCGACTTCCCGGCAGCTGGTGCAGTGGCTGACTTACACTGGAGCGCTCCGTACATGACGGTGAGCGAATGCCTGCAAGAGCAAGGGAGTTATTACTTGGAGTGGCAGCTGAGTCTCTTTAAGTTCGTTCAGAGAAGTTAGGCTGGGCATTTCAGCCAGCTGTCCTTTAGCCAGGGTCCCAGATTGAAGAAGATACTTGGTGCAAAGCCCCAGATGACATATATATATAGAACGTGAGAAAAAATAAACCTTTGTTGTTTTCAACCATTGGATTTTTGCAATTGTTTGTTACTGCAGTGTAACATAGTGAGAACTGCCCGATACCGTGGGCTTCATATTTGAGGAAAAAGATGAGAAATGAAAGAAGAGTGGGAGTTTGCCCTGCCTGGAGGAAGCTAGTGGCTTGGGGCGTTCCGGGCAAAGAGGAGAGCCTCTTGAGGGATGCGTTTCCTCAACACGTCAAATTCTGTAATCTCAGGGTCTCGTTCCGAAGTTCCCTGCCGCTTCCATGAATGCTGAATTGGAAATGTGCAAGAATTTGCATCTGTGTCTCGTCCCCTGAAGTCCGTGGCCTGCGTATCTTAGGTATGAAAGGGACGGGAGGGGACAGGAGGAACTGAGCGCCATGTGCCAGTCTCAGTGCTCAGGGTGTTTTATATTCCGTTGTCATTTGCAGCTGTTGGGCTCCAAATGAAACCTCTGTGTCATCATTCCTCTCCTGTTTCATCAGAAAAATGTAAAACTTCTGTTTACTCCTCAAACTACCTTCCTTCCTCTGCCTACCGTAGTAGCAAATAGAGAAAATATTTACTCTTTGACTCTATAAATAATTTTTGGTTGGGTCTCTCATTTTGCGCCACACACATCTGATTGCATTTTACTGGTTACTGAACCAGTAACGAACAATTCAGGAGTGTTTTTGGTGCTAAAAGTTCTAATTATAAAAGGAGATGTGAAAGTAGCTCCTTGGATCCTGGACAATAAGACTCAACCAGAAGCTCCAGGAGCAGGAGGAAGCACCTGGAGTCGGGAATGCATCTTGAAAAGAATCCTATTTTGTTACGTTTTCCCACATTATTTCAACGCCATGTGCACATTGCAGAAAACCTGAAAAAAGGAATAGGAAAGTGTACTTTATTAAAAATAGCTTCCCCCAGGATTATATATGTCATAGATATACAGTTTTCAGTTCTCCTTTTAGGAGCTATATTTTCTCTGCTTTTTAAAAAAGATAAATGCTTCTTTAAGAAAGTACGAAAATATAAAGAAGAAAATAAAAACCATCCATAATATCACCATCCAGAAATAGTCATTTCGAGTTTTTTGAAATTTTAAACATTCTGAGATGTATGCGTGACCGTTCAGTGAAATTCTACATGGCGATTTTTGGTTGGCTGTTGTTCTGAAACCTGGGCAAACCGAAAGTTGCCATCTGGACACTGATTTTGGAGGTATTCTGTACGCACGTCCTTTTTTTATTTGTCCTGCATCTACCCCCCCCCCCCCCATAAATCTATGGCATGTATTCCACATTCACCCCCAGGAGTCGCTAATCAGTGACACCGTTCTCCTGCTCACAGAAGGTGACCAGGATAGTCCTCACCAGAGAAGTGCTCATGTGGTGTTAGGGGGTGAAAGAGCTGTGCTCTTTACTCAGGAGAGCTGCTCTGAAGATGGTGTCCCCCAGGGCTGTTGGTACCACCTCTCTGCTAGGTGATTGGAGCTGGTATAAATGAAGCCAAGTGGAGGCAAGCGGAACTGAGGGATCGGGAGACACCTACAGTCCCAAAGCCAGCATTCGCATCCCTGGATCAAGCTGGGCCTGTAATGTGAGCTGGTGAGTTCTCCTTCCCGCTGAAGCTCCTGTGAGGTGGCGTTCGTCACTGGCCATGGCGGTGTTCTGTCCCCCTGAACTAAACACATTATAAATATAAACCAGTAGTACTGTTTTTTTTGTGTGTGTGAGGAAGATTGGCCCTGAGCTAACATCTGTTGCCAATCCCCCTCTTTTTTGCTTGAGGAAGATTGGCCCTGAGCTAACATCTGTGATAGTCTTCCTCGGTTTTATGTGGGATGCTGCCACAGCACGGCTTGACGAGTGGAGTGTAGGTCTGCACCTGGGATCCGAACCTGTGAACCCCAGGCCACTGAAGCAGATGCAAACTTAGCCGCTACACCAGTGGGCTGGCCGCCAAACCAGTAGTACGTTAGTACATAATAATACTATCGACCACGTAGTAATACTTCACATGAAATGACAAGAATAGTCAATAATATAGGATAATGTTATTATGGAGAGGGAAGCTTAGACAAAATAAAGACATTTTCTTCTTTTTTTTCCCTCCAGCTTTATTGGGGTATAATTGACAAATAAAATTGTCAGATATTTAAAGGGTACATCTTGATGATTTGATACACCTGTACATTGTGAAAGGCTTCTCCCATCGAGTTAATTAACACATCGTCACTTCGTGTATTTACCTTTTATTTTTGGTGAATAAAGACATTTTCTGAACGTTATTGGGCAACATGATGTGTGCCTCCTGCCTGTTCACTGCGGTCTAGCATTTCTAACTGCATCTTTAGTTGAAAAGGGTTTCTTCGTAAGCAAGGCAGCCAGCTGCAAATGTGTAACAGAGAGTGGAGATTCCTTTAAACGTTCTTAGAGCCAAAGGATTAAATTAGTGCAGACACATGCATTTCAAGGATTACGTTGGATTTTATTAACAACTTATTTTAAAATATTTTATTGCTGTGCTATCTATTAAAATTTTGTTGGATGTGAAATCGTAAGAAGTCTATATTGTGATAATAATGAAATTATTTATTAACATGGGGGTCGCTTCTCTTTTTTCACTCTTTCCCTGACGCTGTTCCCGGAGGTCCCCTGCATGGCCTTTCTCTAGTCTCTCACATCCATTTCTTTTCCCATTCTCTTCTCTTCTCCCGTGAGAATTCTGAAGTTCTAGCTGCCGAATGTCAGCTTTCATTTGTGGTGGGATGTCACAACGGGAGACAAGCTGGCTATGGTACTTTGTCACTTCCTGGCTCCATGTCACAACAGAAGTGATTATTCAGCTGCTACACCTAGAAACCAGGTCCTATTCATTTGTGAGAACATCATTATAAACTTGTTTTTTCTACTTCAACTGTCTGTAATTTGTCTCAGCATGCTTTTTCTCCTCTAGTTAGGGTCATTTCTCTTAGCATATACAAATAAACATATATGTATATAATGTATGTATAATGTATCTACATATATTGTATACATATATGCATATATACATGTGTATATAAAATGTATATATGTATATAAAATAGACACATATGCTTTCTAGCTCTCTCTCTTTTTTTTTTCCTGAGGAAGATTCGCCCTGAGCTAACATCCACTGTCAATCTTCTTCTTTTTGTATGTGGGTTACCACCACAGTGTGGCCACTAACAGGCGAGTGGTGTAGGTCCATGCCTGGGAACTGAACCCAGGCTGCTGAAGCAGAGTGTGCCAAACTTAAGCCCTGGGGCTGGCACACCTGTGCTTTCTCTTAGCACATATAAATAAGTTTGTCTGTTACCGTTGTTCAAACACTAGACTTTATTCTGGTGTCCACCTGTATGTCTGCTGTTTCTCCATCCTGTGCTTCTCGTAGGAAGTGGCTTCTTCTAGTTTCTTAAATCCAAACTTACTCATTTGAAGTAGGGACAAGCATCTGACTAATTATGTCTCCTAATGTAGCTGTGCTCCAGCGTTTCAACATTGAAATATGCGTTATTTTGTTAGAAATCCTTTATGATACAGTTGGACCATTGTGTATTTTTCTGCAATTGTGTCTATAGCTAGGTTACTTTATCTGTGAGCTACATTTCAGGATGTATGGGGGACTACAAACATTTGTTGTCTTAAGACGTTAGGTTTGGTGTGGTTGAGAACCACAGGGAAAAAATGAATGGATATTTCTTGATACGTGCCTGGCTTGTCCATGGATTAAAAGGCGGGAAAGCCCAGCCATCGCTTTTATGGCACTGACTGTGTACCAGGCACTCTTTTGAGCATTTCACAAATACTAGCACATGTATGTCTCATCACAGCCTTCTGAAGTGAGTACTATTAGTATCCACAGTATACAGATGGGAACACTGAGGCACACGGAAGGTAAGCGGCTTGCCCGTGGTCACAGCTTCAGTGGCAGAGATAAGATGCAGTGAAGGATTATTATGTCCCACTTATGTCACGGAAACTTTGCATGACTTAACGTATTTTCTCCTCGTGGTTCCTATGAGGTAGGCCCTCGTTATCCCCATTATACAGATAAAGAAACTGAGGCACAGTGTCATCAAGCCACTTGCCCAAAGTGACAGTCTGGCAGGTCGGGGTTCAGACCCAGGCTCTTGGCCCCAGTCTGTGCTCTGTTCGTACCCTGCTTGGCCTCTGGCAGACTGCTCTGCTTTCTGGGTTTTTTGGCATCAAGCTACACTAACCCTGCACACACAGGCACACACACACATCTCTGGATAGATAACCAAAGAGGTATCTTTTGGAGCTATCACACGATGTCATAAGAAATCTCCAGTTTCTTCCTTTTCATGTTGTTGCTACTGGGCAATTGTTGGAGTGTCTAAAATGTCTCGGCACCGCTGATGGTGTAGGGATAGTACCTGCCATGAGCTTTGCCATCTCACGGCAAAGGTCAGAGGGAGCTGGGAAGTCGGTGGGACACAGGTGCCACCAGAAAGTTGAGGCCTGGGGCCCTGGACCCCCAACCCACTGTGGCTGTCCATCTCTCGGCCTGGCAGTTCCACACAGGTGGCCCAGAGCAGTTGCAGAGACCGTGGTGAGCAGGGAGGAAGCGTGAGTTGCTGTTTATCCCTCTTGTCACCAATGGTCCCCAGCACCAGGAGGCCTCAGGCTCAGAGATGTGTCCCTGACATGGCAGGCAAAAAGGAGACTTTGAAATTTTTCCTTCTCATTTGGAACTTGGGAAACTTCTCCCTCCCACCTTTTCTTCCTGCTCTGTCTTTGAGGCCTTTTAGGGTGGGGGGGGGGTGCCTCTCATCCCGGGCATGTGTGCATTGGTGAGCTGGCTCAGGCGAGGGCTCGGGGTTCTTCCCGTGCTTCCAGGTTGGCTCCCCCTCCCCTGCAGCTCTTCCACACTGTGCGCCTCTCCTCCAGTCCACAGGGTTGTTCGGCCCCCTTTCTACAGACAACCTTACCTGGAGTTGGGCTGAGACAGTCAAAGTGCATCAGGTGAGAAATTCCTCCGTCCCTTTCCTCCCACTTGCAAATGCGTCTGTTTGCATCCATTCAGACATCTGTTTCCCCTCCTATTGCCGAGGAAGCAGTGGCCCTGGACCCCTCCGAGATACATTACTCCTTTCTGCTGTACGGTGACGAATGACCCACACTCTAGTGCTTACAGTGACAACCCCGGTTTCTCCTTCATGGTCTGGGGCTTGGCTGGGTTTGGCTCCAGATGGCAGGTCAGGCTCAGGGCTGCCCCCAGCTCTCCTTTGAGGTCGCTGGCTGATGAGGCTCTGGCCCCCTGGGCCGGCCGCTCAACTGGCAGAGGGCAGAAGTGCAAGATGGGAAACAGGACCATCCAGGCCTCTTAAGGCCTCTGCTTGGAGCTGGTTCATCGTCATTTTCTCCCGCATTCCACCAGTCAAAGCAAATCCTGGCCCATGAAAATAAACTCCACCTCTGGGAGTTTTTGCTGAGAAAGAATACGGCCCTCCACCTGCCTCCTCTGGGATCCTGACCCCCAGTTCCAGCATTCCCATCCATTCGTGCTCTGTTTCTTCTCACTCTGCACACCTCCCTTTTTCTCTCTTCTTCATCGCTCTCCACCCTGCAAATGAATAAAGCTTTCCTTGTCCTCAAGAGAAAGAATTCCTTTCTTTTAATTCTGACTTGCCTCCAGCTCTTCTTTTCCTCCCTCCCTCCACCTCCTAACAGAGAGCCTTTCCTGTCTCCTCAGCATCCTCTTCTTGTCCTTAGCTGCCTCCAGGGCCCAGGGCCCTTCCTTAGCCCCCTGCAGCCTTCCATCCCCAGGGACAAGGGTCCTTCCTTAGCCCGCTGCAGCCTTCCGTCCCCAGGCCCAGGGCCCTTCCTTAGCCCCCTGCTGCCTTCCATCCCCGGGGCCCCCTGGTGAAGCCCACAGACATCCTCCCTCCTAATCCAGGGCCACCTTCTTGTTCCATTTCACTTGGTTTCGGCATTTTGTGTGGTTTATTCCTCCTCCTTGGTTCCGGACAGCTGCTCTGTCCTGGCGCTCTCCCTTCCTCGGCAGTGCTTTCTCGGTCCTCTTCACAGACCGCCCACTCTTTCACTCCCTCCTCTGGCTGGCGTTTCCGCGGTGCCTTGTCCGTGATGCACAGAAAGATCATGGGCAGCATCCCTGACTCACACTCAGGAGGAGCCCTTGTAACGACACAATTGCGAGTCAGCATGACGGATCACGCTGGGACCAGGGTGCCACAGAGAAGCCATCGCAGAGTGCAAACTTTCTCCAGAAAAGGGTGTCATATGACCCGGACCTTGAGAGGCTCGGAGAATTGGAGCCGCCTCCCAGGAAAAGCAGAGTGGGCCTGCAGTGGTCCAGAAGCTGCTCTCCCCTCAGCTGGGTTCCCAGCGTTTCAGCCCCATCCCCTCCTCTGCACCCCCTTTCTTTCCTCCTTGGCTGTGAGCCCCGCACCTTCTCCTGGGTGGGGTCTCCGAGGGCCGACTGCATTGCCAGCTGAGTGCCTGGTGGTCCTTCAAACTCAACCCTGAACTCATGTTCTCAACCTCAGCCTCGCTCTCCCTCCCTCCATGGCTTCATCATCACCTTTCGGGCAAAGGAA